ATAATGCCCACTAATCATAGGATAATTAATTTACCTTGGGCAAATCCTGAAATTCTCCTTCGAGAAGTCAAGAAAGAGAAGACTGCTGCAGAGATATGGAGCAGGTTAGACTCACTCTATCAGTCTAAGACTGTACCTAATAGGTTATTTCTAAAACAGAGTTTGTTTGGGTTTAAGATGGATGAACAAAAGTCACTAAAAGATAATAAGAATGAGTTCCTTAAGATTATACAAGACTTAGAAAGTATATCTATTGAAATAGGTGATGAAGATCAAGCTGTAATCTTGTTAAATTCATTACCTAAAACTTATTCAAACTTTGTAGAGACTCTGAAATATGGTAGGCAGACTCTGAAATTAGAAGAAGTATTAGAATCTATCTCTATAAGGATATAGAAAACAGAATTAGGGATAAGAATGTGAGTGATGGTGAGGGTCTTGTAGTAAGAGGAAGATCTGAAAAGAAGAATTGGAAAAAGGGAGGTCAGAATAGAAATAGGTTTAAGTCCAAACCTGGGAAATGGAAGTGTTTCTTCTGTCATAAGGAGGGTCATCTTAGGAGAGACTGCCCTGAGAGAAAAAAGAAGAAATATGAGAAAGAGGATGATGGAGGCAGTGCAGGGGTAGTATCTGAAGGATATGAGAGTTCAGAGGTCCTAGTTATTTCAGAGGGCAGTACTAAGGATGAGTGGATCCTAGACACTGGATGCACCTATCATATGACAACTAATAGGGAGTGGTTTAGCTCATTTCAACCTTTAGATGGTGGGAAAGTAACGATGGGAAATAATATTGTCTGTCATATTAAGGGAATAGGATCTGTCAAAATGAATCTTCATAGTGGATTAGCTAAGACACTTACTGATGTTAGGTATATCCCTGAACTAAAACGAAACCTTATCTCTCTTGGAACATTAGACTCTATAGGTCTGAATTATAAGGATGCTAATGGGAGTCTTAGTGTCTTAAAAGGGTCTTTAGTTATTATGAAGGCTGAAAAAAGAAATGGATTATATGTCTTGAAAGGTAAGACTGATAGTGGAGAGGTCAATATTGGGGCAACTGAGGAACTAGATAAGACTACCTTGTGGCATAGAAGGCTTGCCAATGTTAGTGAAAAGGGCTTAGGTGAACTCAGCAAACAAAACCTACTAGGTGGGGATAAAACACGTTGTATCAGCAGTCACTGAAGGTAGAAAACTATAAATGCTGAATTGAAGAAGGTCTTCAGATCAAGTGACTGACAACTTTGAAAACGATGCTGCATTCATCTGGAAGTTGATGCACAACACAGAGAACGAATTGAAGTTGTGAAAGCGGATGAGGTGGAATTTCGATAAATATGATGACCACCTCATCTTTCTATGTATAGTTTCTTACTGATGGCTATTTGGCTTTAATAAATCATACTCAGAATTCATGCATATTTGGTGGTTGTGTGAGACTTACGTTTGATTTGAAAATTTATTTAATTAAATCAGTTCCATGGAAATCTAAGTAATTTGAATTTATTTGGATTATTATCAGGATTTACTAACAATAACAGTTAAGAGTCAATGAACTTAAAGAAAAAAAAAAAAAAAAAGAATTAATATCATTTGAAATCGTTTGCTCGGATATCGAAACTACAGATACCTACTCTAAGCATTTTCAATTAGTTAGATATACCTAATTTAGATACAGATTTTAGAAGTTAATTAACATTACAAATTTTATTTTCACTGGAGAATTTACAGGGAAAGGCCATAAATTATTCCTCTTTCTAGAGTGAATCACCCTTCAAAACGCAATTTTCCAGAAGAAATCGCTTATAATGCCTTTAATCTTCCTGACCTAATGAAATTATTATTTTCTATAAGTACTTTTAATCAATATGAACATTCATTTAACTCTATTTGCCTAAGATGATCCAACAAAAATTATTTCAAAAAACCCCTTTCAAGATTCCTTTTGTTTTTGTTTCCAATCTCGTATTAAGGATAAATAATAACAAATCTTATACAAAACATTATAGACCAAGATATAATTTACATTTAAATAATAATCAACTAAAAAGATATGAACTAGAAAAAAAATGAACTAGTGTGCTATAATTGATATAGAATATAATGTGGACCGTCTAATAGTTGAAAAGAGTAGATAGAAAAAAAGAATTTAGTACCAATAATTCAATATGAAAATAGCAGAAGAGATAAATGAATCTGAAATTAAGAAGAGAAATATATATGAACTTATCAAATGAATATGAGAGGGAGGCAAGGACGCTCCTACAGCTTCATCGATCGTCAACCATATGAAAATTTATTCTCACTATCAAAATATGAATCCATTAAAATTAAAATGCTCACAAACAGAGAAGAAACAGTAAGGAGAACTAGAGAAACTAGCTGTTTGTTGTGTCTCAGATCGCTACTTCGTGGTGCCTACTATATAGGAGGAGATTTAATTAGCAGCAAAAACCCTAAAATTTGGCATTCATGGTTGATGGGATTATAGACAGGGACCCGTCCAGCTGTCACTAATCTTAAATTAAGGGAGAACGACTTATACATACCCAATATTTTTTCAAAACGATAAGTTGATACCCAAAAGGTTTGAAACGACAAAGGATACCTTCCGTCATGTTCTGTTAGTGATTTTGGTAGATAATAGTGAAAAGACTAAAATACCCTTGAAAGTTTAATTTTAGTTTTTATAAATTAAAATCTATAAAAAACCCCCTGGTTTGCCTAATTTGACTAAACAGCCCAATATATAAAAATTTTATAAAATAACAAAAACACCCCGACCACCCGCGAGTGCCAGATTGCCCCCACCGCGGATCTGGCCGAAAATTGGTTACGACACAAGACCCGTCGGATCTGTGTCGTAACACACCGATATGCTTTCCGGCCAGATCTATGTCTGGCCTTTTCCGGCCAGATCATCCAAGGGATTGGCGGGAAAACGCCAGATCGACGTGTTACGACACAGATCCGATGGGTCTGGGTCGTACACAATTTTCCGGCAAGTTTTCAGTCTCGACGGCCAGATCTGGCCGTAGATCTGGGCTTTTCCGGCCAGATCAGCACGGATCTTGCCGGAAAATAAAGATCTACGAGTTACGACAAGATCCGATGGGTCTGTGTGTAACGCAATTTTTCGGCCAGATTCGACGGGGGTGGCGGAATCTGGCCACTGCAGGGGTGGCGGGGGTGTTTTGTTATTTTATAAAATTTTTTATATATTGGGCTGTTTAGTCAAATTAGCAACCTAGGGGGTTTTTAGAAGTTTTAAATTTATAAAAAACTAAAAATTAAACTTTCAAGGGTATTTTAGTCTTTTCACTATTATCTACACAAATCATAACAGAACATGACGGAAGGTATCTATTTGTCGTTTCAAAAACTGTTGGGTATAAACTTATCGTTTCAACAACCCTTGGGTATGATAAGTCGTTCGGCCTAAATTAAAAGTCTACATCGTGTGGACATTCTGTTAACAGTATTTGATTATAGTAACAATACTTAAAGTTTATAGCATAAGGTATTGAAAAATAATGTGAAGCCAAAACGGGGGGTGTTCATTTATTTATAGTGTAATTTAGCCGTCCGATCAAGACAGATCCAAGGACTGATATTTACTAATACGGGATATATAAAGAAAGCAACCGTGATGAGAAAGAGAACGCGTTTTTGTTTATCAAAATTAGGGTTCAGAAAAGAGAGAGAAACTAGGGTTGAGTATTTGCTGAGTCTTTCGGGTATATTTGGGTAGATTGTAAAGAGGGTTGTGTTTCCTTCTTGCGGCTGGTGTTTGTCCTTTGTTTTCTGCAGATTATGGGGATTCTTGAGGAATAGGCTTTGGTTGGGGTTGATCTGTTTGGCAGATTGTATGGTTGTCTTTTGTAATCGTTGGATATCCTTTAGTGTTGTGAGGGTCCGTATTTCGGAGCTCAATGTGGTGGAGTCTATCCAAGATTAATAGACGAACACGGTAAATTCGTGCCTATTTTGTGTCTGTGTGGTTCTTGATTGAATCTTATTGGTGTTTGTATTGCGAATTGCTTATTAAGCTTGGGTTATAACACGTATAAAATTAGTGATGGATGGCTAATTATGTAAAGGTGTAGCATAATTGTATTTTATGTGACAACGGTACACTAAAGTGTAGCTATTACGATGCATGGTGCGATTGTGGTGACGTGGCTACTGATTTGCCACGGTGGAAGTCAGCATAAGTGTCCAAGTCAAACTTCATTAGCGACGTCGTTTTGGCCAACCTAAAAGACTTATCTAATTAGGCTATCGGATTATCACGAGCTCTCATTCTCTTTCTTATCTGGTTTGGCTCGACAGCCTGTTTGGAGGACAGCTCCTCATCTTGGCGAAACTTCCAGAATCGACAGCAAACTTTCTGTTATGGAGAATCAGACAGAGGCTGATGATCCAGGAGGAAAAAGCACTGCTTATTAACCATGTTTTTCCAGAGAAACGACGGAGAGAGTTTTGGTGGGCAGACGAGTTAGGGTTTTCTCTAATCGGTGTGTCTTTCCTGTGTAATGGTTTACCTTTATTCTGATCAGTTACATTCTTTGGTTGAAATACAATCCTAGTGTGAGCTTGGAGAGTGGATGTAGGCGTAAAAGCCGAACCACTATAATCTTGCTGTGTCTTGTTCTCTACTTTCTTTATCTGATTGTCATAAGTTTTATATGTGTTTGATTCATCACTTAATCAGTTTCACTAAACCTAGAATTATAACAATTGGATCAGAGCTGGTTAAAGGTTCCAGTTAGGGTTTCTCTGTCTTTAGTCGTGTTTTTGGGGATCATTAAAATTGATCTCTTTCCTATTAAGAGTGTTTTTCTGATCTGTAAAGAAAGACATGTCGACTAAATTTGAGTTGGAAAAAGTTTACAGGTGGAAAACGATTCGGCTTATGGAAAAGAAGATGGAGGCAGTGTTGGTTAAAGAAGGCTTGCGTGTGGCTCTGAAAGGAGAAGAAGATTTCCTGATACATTAACCACCACAGAAATACAAGACATGCGAACAGGCCAAAAGTCCCTGATTTCTGGCTTTGGGAGATAACGTGTTCAAGAAGACATTTTTCATAATATATAAACCCACGAAAATGATGCATGGAACCATAAGGAGCGATCGCTGAAGTGACATTGCCATGGAAAATTCGGGCGGAGGAGGGTACATGTAATACCATGGAAAGTAAGGCAATATTGGATTAGGAGGTGGTGGCGCAGCCCAAATGACGTTCCCAGGAGGCGGTGGGGGTAGTGGCAACCATGGTGGCTGTGGTATCACTGGTGGCTGTAGTTGTGGCGGCGGTGGTGCAAGTGGTGGCGAAGGTGGAGGAGGGCAGTTTGTGTTGGGTGTTGGTGGTGGTGGTGGTTGACAAGGGTAAGTACAAGCTTGAGTGGCGAGTGTAGGGTCAAGATTAGTCAAAAAGACGAAGAAAAGAAGGGTTATGGAGAAAGCATTTGCATGGATGAATATAAGAGCCATGGGGGCTTTACAGTGAAGGAGAAGAGGTTATGTTGGGTGTGGTATACATTTGTGGTGACTTACTATTTATTGAAAGGTTTAAAGCTATGCGTGTGCAATCAATAATTCAATTCAATTATTTTTTTTGAAAATTTAAGAAGAAACCTCCGCTTAAACAAATTAATACACCATTAAACTCTGGTTTAAGGAAAAGAAGAATTCTCTCTCTTTCTATATGAGTTATTACCAAATTAATGGTTAGAAATCGTTAAATCTCTTGAAAATTAAATGAGGTAATTCAGAAAGATCCAAATCATAATATATATATATATATATATAAAATCAATTACTTTTGCTTTAATGATTTGGCCCACTGAGTAGTGGGAATCATCTAATTAAAGAGCTTCAAATTAGTTGTAAACGTTGCCACTTTGACTATTTGAGTTGTGATTTATGAGTTAGGTTAATTAGCGTGGCCGAGGCCTAAAGGCTAAACATATAGGCTTAATTTATTTAAAATTGTAGTTAATGAATCATCTAAATTAAACTCTACACTTACCAATTTATAATATTCAGTCTTATCTTATTTTTTCCTCGCATTTTGTCAGAAACAAAATGATTTACAATTCAAACAGGGGATTTAGCTATATTACCCCCTCAGTCTTGTTACCGGGGGAGTAATAACAGTTGATAATGATCCCTTGGACGACGATGAGGGTATGTTACTGGGAGTGGGGGTAACAAGATCCTTGATATAGGAAATGCTCAACAGCTGAGAAACGGTCCAGTGGGTGAATGAAACAGACTGATATGTCTTGATGATTGTTGTTAAGCCAAATCCTTTTGTATATAATAAAGTTAGTGGGTCCTCTTGTTATTACACTCATCTTAATTTCCATATATATATGTATATATATATAATGGAGGTTATAACTTCATTAATTAAAACATCCTCCGCATTAGGTAGATAACACTATTCACATGCTTCTATAGTTATTTATATATACAATATTATTCTTAAAATCTGTAATATCAACCCAATCTATTTGGATCCGAGGTATATAAGATAACAAGGGTAATCTTCGTTTATTTTATAAAATTCTGGTGTTTGGTTTGCAAGTAATAAAATATTACGGTAATTTTTTATTTTAAATAGTGTTTATTATTGATAATGTGAGGGGTAATCTTTTTACCTTATTAAGGAGTGTTATTAAAACATTACTAGGATAATCTGATTTTTCTATCCATTTTGCCCTTAATTAAAAACTATTTTGGACATAATTGCCCTCAAATGTCTACCAAATAACAATTAATCCAATCCCCCTACATTTAAGAAATTAGCTAAAACACCTAGCCACAAAAAAGTTTAAAAGTTAACAAAATATCCCTAGTCACTCAAGACCATCGCCGCCTGTCGGCGTCAGTCATCGTAATGTTGCACGGTTGACGGGATCTGACCAGTCGTGTGCCAATAAGGCATTTTTCGACCATGAATCTGTGATCCATGGCCGGAAACTGCCAGATCTGACATTTCTATGACCGTTTCATTGCCAAAAATGTGGTTGTAAAAATGCCAGATCTTTGGCCGTGAAATGGCCATAGATCTGGCTATTTTCCGACCATGGATTTGTGATCCATGGTCATTTTCGGCTTTGTCGGTGCACGACGGGCCATATATGGCCAATCGTGAGCCATTCCGTCAACTGTCGACGGCGGTCGGTAGTGGTGGCTGACTGCCGGTAGTGGCTTGGGGTAGGTGAGGGTGATTTTGCTGTAAATTAAAGTTTTATATAGCTAGGGTATTTTAGCAAAATTTCAAATGTACAAGGGTTAAAAAAATGATTTAAAAAATAATAATAAAAAATACTATTATATTAATATTTAAAAAAAAAACTATTTAATAATCTATATAACATATTTATTTATTTATCATTCTAACTAAATATATTATTCACCGTTTTATTTAAACTAGTTAAATAAATTTTCTAAATATTTTCAATAATTGTTAAAGTGATCTTTTATGTTGATAATATAATATACATAATGTGAGAAGCAAAAGAAAGTAAAATTTAACTTTGTGTGAAGGTGTGATCTGTATTTAAAACTGTTTGTAGTCAGCAGTCACTGACAGGTAGAAACTATAAATGCTGAATTGAAGAATGGTCTTCAGATCAAGTGACTGACAACTTTTGAAAACGATGCTGCATTCATCTGGAAGTTGCTGCACAACACAGAGACAGAATTGAAGTTGTGAAAGCTGATGAGGTAGGAATTTCGATTAAATAAATGATGACCCACCTCAATCTTTCTATGTATAGTTTCATTACTGATGGCTATTTGGCTTTCATAAATCATACTCACATTCATGCATATTTTGTGGTTTGGTCGAGACTTACGTTTTGATTTTGAAAATTTTATTTAATTAAATCAAGTTTCCATGGAAATTAAGTAATTTGAATTTATATTTGGATTATTATCAGGATTTTGCCAACAATAACAGTTAAGAGTCAATGAACTTTAAAGAAAAAAAAAAAAAAAAAGAATTAATTATCATTTGAAACTAGTTTTTGCTTCGGATATCGAAACTACAGATACCTACTCTAAGCATTTTCAATTAGTTAGATATACCTAATTTCAGATAAAGATTTAGAAGTTAATTAACACTTACAAATTTTATTTCCCTGGAGAATTTTACAGGGAAAGGCCATAAATTATTCCTCTTTCTAGATGAATCACCCTTCAAACGCAATTTTCCAGAAGAAATTCGCTTATAATGCCTTTAATCTTCCTGACCTAAATGAAATTATTATTTTCTATAAGTACTTTTTTTTAATCAATATGAACATTCAGTTAACTCTATTTGCCTAAAGATTATCCCAACAAAATATTATTTCATAAAACCCCTTTCAAGATTCCTTTTGTTTTTGTTTTTCCAATCTTCGTATTAAGGATAAATAATAAAAATCTTATACAAAACATTATAGACCAAGATATAATTTACATTTTAAATATTATCAACTAAAAAAGAATATGAACTAAGAAAAAAAATGAACTAGGTGTGCTATAATTGATATATTGAATATAATTTGTGACAGTCTAAATAGTTGAAAAGAGTAGATAGAAAAAAGAATTTATGTACCAATAATTCAATAATGAAAATAGCAGCAAGAGATAAATGAATCTGAAATTAAGAAGAGAAATATATATGAACTTATCAAATGAATATGAGAGAGGAGGCAAGGACGCTCTCCAAGCTTCATCGATCTGCAACCATTCTGAACAATTTATTCTCACTATCAAAATATGAATCCATTAAAATTAAAATGCTCACAAACAGAAGAAACAGTAAGGAGAAATAGAGAACTAGCTGTTTGTTGTGTCTCCAGATCGCTCTTCGTGGTCCTACTTATATAGGAGGAGATTTAATTTAGGCAGCAAAAACCCTAAAATTTGGCATTCATGTTGATGGGATTATAGACAGTGACCCGTCCAGCTGTCACTAATTCTTAAATTAAAGGGAGAACGACTTATACATACCCAATATTTTTCAAAACGATAAGTTGATACCCAAAAGGTTTTGAAACGACAAATGGATACCTTCCGTCATGTTCTGTTAGTGATTTTGGTTAGATAATAGTGAAAAGACTAAAATACCCTTGAAAGTTTAATTTTTAGTTTTTATAAATTTAAAAACTTATAAAAAACCCCCTAGGTTTGCTAATTTGACTAAACAGCCCAATATATAAAAATTTTATAAAATAACAAAAACACCCCCGCCACCCCCGCAGTGCCAGATTCCGGCCACCACCGCCGGAATCTGGCCGGAAAATTGTGTTACGACACAGACCCGTCGGATCTGTGTCGTAACACACCGATATGGCCTTTTCCGGCCAGATCTATGTCTGGCCTTTTCCGGCCAGATCATCCACGGATCTGGCCGGAAAACGCCAGATCGACGTGTTACGACACAGATCCGATGGGTCTGTGTCGTCACACAATTTTCCGGCAAGTTTCCAGTCTCGACGGCCAGATCTGGCCGTAGATCTGGTCTTTTCCGGCCAGATCAGCCACGGATCTTGCCGGAAAATGAAAGATCTACGCGTTACGACACAGATCCGATGGGTCTGTGTCGTAACGCAATTTTTCGGCCAGATTCCGACGGGGGTGGCCGGAATCTGGCACTGCAGGGGTGGCGGGGGTGTTTTTGTTATTTTATAAAATTTTTATATATTGGGCTGTTTAGTCAAATTAGCAAACCTAGGGGGTTTTTTAGAAGTTTTTAAATTTATAAAAAACTAAAAATTAAACTTTCAAGGGTATTTTAGTCTTTTCACTATTATCTAACCAAAATCACTAACAGAACATGACGGAAGGTATCTATTTGTCGTTTCAAAACCTTTTGGGTATCAACTTATCGTTTCAACAAACCTTGGGTATGCATAAGTCGTTCGGCCTAAATTAAAAGTCTACATCTTGTGTGACCATTCTGTTTAACAGTATTTATTATAGTAAACAATACTTAAAGTTTATAGCATAAGGTATTGAAAAATAATGTGAAGCCAAAACGGGGTCGTTTCATTTAAGTTTATTAGTGTAATTTTAGCCGTCAGATCAAGACAGATCCAAGGACTGATATTTACTAATACGGGCATATATAAAGAAAGCAACAGTGATGAGAAAGATGAACGCGTTTTTGTTTATCAAAATTAGGGTTCAGAAAAGGAGAGAAACTAGGGTTGAGTATTTGCTGAGTCTTTCTGGGTATAATTTGGGTAGATTGTAAAAGAGGGTTGTGTTTCCTTCTTGAGGCTGGTGTTTGTCCTTTGTTTTCTTGCAGATTATTGGGAGATTCTTGAGCGAATAGGCTTTGGTTGAGGGTTGATCTGTTTTGGCAGATTTGTATGGTTGTCTTTTTGTAATCGTTGGATATCCTTTTAGTGTTGTGAGTGTCCGTATTTCGGAGCTCAATGTGGATGTAGTCTATCCAAGATTAAATAGACGAACCACGGTAAATTCGTGCC